ACAAATGATAACTTGTTGTTTAGAATGGGTCTACAAAAATTTGAAATTTTAGACCAAATATGGTCTAAATTTTTGTTTGTTTAAGGGATAATAATAAAGAGTTAGTCTAAAAAAAAATTTTTAGTCATAAAAATAGTATTTGATATCCTATAAAATGGTTCCAATTAACATTATTTACATCAATCCAACAAGAAGGATGTTTCTTTGAAGGAATTTGTTCATTTTTCAAAGAATTGATGACATCCTTTTGTTCTTGGAGTAATTTTATTATTTTTTCATTTTGGTTTGAAATTTTAATGAGATGATTTTTATTTTCCTTTAATTCTTTAATTAAATCCATTGAAATATAATCATTTCCTCCTGTCATATAATTTAATATTTATTTTTAGTAAATAAAAAAATTTAGTATGTAGAGTAATTATTATAATTAGTTACTAGTGCTAATATTAGAAACAAATTTCACCCAATATTCTACCTCATAATTTTTTTTTTAAAATCGAAATTCTGGTACCCATTATAATTTCATGTCCATTAAAAAACAAAAATGCTTTGTAAAAAATAAATACCTCTTTTTGGTAAACCCATATCAACATAAGGTTGTGGGCAAAACCTCCTTAGTAATTGCTGAAACCATGGCAAAACTATATTAAATCTTATCAAAAATCCTGTTGAAACTATGCCGAAAGGCGAAACCTCAAAATGCGAAACTCTGCCAAAACTCTAATAAACAATTAATGTGTAACCTGCCGAAACCCTGCTGATTGATTTCTGGATGAGTTTTGGCAAGCAACCTTATATCAACATCATCTTCAACATTACTATTCATTTCATCTGAACTTTTTGCATTGTTATCCAAATAAAATCTGTTATTATCAGATAATGATTTAACACTATTGTTGAAAAAATTTTGTGAAGGCACTATAAATTCATTCAAAGATGAAGAACTGAATACATTTTCAGCTTTAAACATACAGCCTCACTAATCAGGATCCCTTACACTCATCTTTCATTAGAAATAATCTTTGGAATTATTAATATCAAATAGGTCTGGCCTCTCTGCCCAGTCTTTATAAATGTCTTCAGTTTCAATCCACATAATTAGTGAATCGGTATCAGTATAAAGAAGGCAGGCCTTTTCTCCATAATGGGGTTTAATATAGCCATACCAAAAGTTATACATCATAGCCTTAGTAATATTGAGAATTGCTTGCCCTACAAACATTGGCTTATTTAGAGTAATCTGGCTTTTTAGCATATGGATGGCTGTAATTCCGCCTTCGAAAGCCTTAAAACCTACATATAAAGGAGATGCAGTAAGACGTTTAAGTTTTTTGTCCTCATCAGGTTTAAGTAATTCTACTCTCATATGTTTTCAGACATTTTCCATTTGCTTACCAAAGCGGTGTTACAAAAACATGTAATGTATGAACCCTTATGTATGTAACGTATGATTTTTATTTCCATACATGTATGAAAATGCAGATCAT